TGGCCGCTGGGAGTAGGTTTTTACGCATGTAACTTGAAGATCTGCGCGGCGCTTCGCGCCGCGGACTATACTAATCTAACTCCAGAACCGTAAGTTGGGCCACAGGTAAGTTGACGTCGACGACCCCCTAACCACCATTTCAATTTTTCGGGAAACGTAAGTTAAAGTAGGCGACCTCCTAACCACCATTTCAATTTTTCGGGAAATTCAGACCTGCAATTTGATAATCGGGTTTTTCCGCAATAAGTTAAATGATAATACGGATTAGGAAAATCTACAGATACAAATCAACAACACTTCCAAATACAGTAAAATAGAAATGCATTTAGCATTTATTAAAGTATATTCCATATAGAACCCATAGAACCCGATAAACACCGTTTTCGTAGGAGAAAATGCAGGTTGCAGGGATTAAAGAGTGGGCTACACAAGCTACTGTTGCCGACTTTTCAATTGTAAAATTGGAATTTAAGCAGAACTAAGACAGTCCAAAAACCTATTGGTGTTAAATTAACCCAATTCTTTTACAGTATATGCTACTCCTGCTGGTTTTTACCCCCTTATCTCCAACTGTTCTGGCGCTTTGGGTACACCCGCTACAAATTGGTGACCCTGGGCTTGTTCGTAGCGACGGAGACATCGAGGTTAATAGCTTACGGAAACGATAGCATCATTTGTCCGTTTATTCGGCTGAAAATCCATCAAAGCATGCATAAAACTGTCCACCCATCCAAACTGGCAAACCTTATCTTGAAAATTACTTCCTTGGTTGATGAATAAACTGAGAAATTTAACTACCATACTCACTTTCCACATTGGATACTACAGCCTATCGTAGCTCGGCACGGGTAGAGAAACTGTATTACATAGTTCGTCAGTCAACAACCATCCATGGGCCAATGAAACATGGCCAAAACAATTATGAGACTGTACACGAGAGCACAATTGGAGGGGGTCGCCAAATATAAGCTTCTCAAACGCATGACGGAATAGGACTTATTGTGGATGAGCCCTCGCGTGGTGGTGGGGAACCAGTAAGCCTTGAGTGTGACAAGCATCCTGTTGCAATAAACAGCATCGGAAAATCTAGCAACAATAGCAAAAACAAGCAATTTTCAGTTGCTAGTTAATGCGCCAGAGCTTGAAAATGCGTCGCACCAGCAGTGTTCACTTGGCGTATCCACTTCTACCCAGTTTAGCTGACTGTCATCACCAAATGATCACACCACAAAAGTACGTGGTAATTCAGCAGAGATGAAAGCGGTGCAGTAGTATTTCAGCATTTGGGATGGTAAACACATAGGCGAAAACAGTTTTATTAGTGGACCTCATACACCACTAGCTCCAGCATTCTCTCTTACTAGGTCGGTGGTAATAGGGGTTTTATGGGTGAGAATCAGGATTAGTAATGAAGAAAAGTTGTAAAGGTAACTGTATAGTGGTGAACCACAGTTATTTGTGGCTTTAATCGGTGCGTCATCGACGACGCGGTGCAGAATTATGCTAGAATACTGGAATGATGGGATATAATTTAATAACTACTCGATTCATTTTAACAATTAATCGCATTGGTTCCTGACCAATCACACCTTTACGCGTGGCTGTATATTTAAAAACCTCTTATTCATTGAATGCTGTTTCTACTTATATATTTTCGTATTTACGCGCTCTAAATCGTGGCCATATGGTGGCCGCAATCAACAAAGTCAGTCACATTTTACCACTTTACACTTCTACAGATTTCCTTAACTGCCTATCCTATTTCCCCCACCTACAAAACCCCCTATCAACACCGGTCCCGTACGACAGATTTCCTTAACTGTCTATCCTATTTCCCACCCCCAGAAACCTCTTACCACGGTTTCCGTAGGACAAAATGTTGAGACCTGAGGTATATATGGTCCACTACTCAACCTACCTTCGCCAACACATAAATTATTAGGCCACACTTGTTCAATCTCCTTATGGAGGCAGGATCTCGGCACTAGCCTACTTTTTCTAGACCCCATGATGCGCAGCCTGCCTATTGTCGTGATTACTTCCTGAAGGGAAGGATCACATGCCCCCACATGGACTGGAGCGAAATAAAACTTTGCTACAAGGCGTGGCGAGCCGAACTATAGAAGCCCCCGGACCGCTTATGCTATCGTTCAATCTTGACCGGATCGTCGGCCATACTGCCGCTATCAGGCCCACCATTAAGCTGTCGAATAGCATGCAGAGTTTTCCAGTGCTGTCTTTGTTTGAAATCTGTTCTGTTAATTTCGGCATCCCATTTCAGTGGATTATGTAAGTACCCTAGTCGAACTGGCCACATTGCCCCCCTCCTTGGCACACATGATCATTTCTAAGGTGTGGCTAAGCCGTCTGTGCCGAAAATTCTATGGAATTTGATTGATTTATTATTTAAAAATCCTTCGACTGAAGCCGAAAATTCTCTCAGTTGCCTCGCAAACTTCAGTTACGATCACAGACTACTACCTTCTTCCTCGACTCGGATCGAAAGCGAAACGAGAGATCTCTGCTCAGAAATGTGGCAGAGCTGGCTTGTCACAGTTTTTCACCAAAATGCGTCTACTATGAGACATTTAAATCCTATATGGGAAGTGAACTTACAAGCATGTGCATGGTCTGAGGCGCAGGCATTGTCGGTGTCGGCACTATGTATGCATATTTTAGCACCAAACTCACTTAAGCGATCTTGAACTAACTAGAATGCGATCAATGTGGTTGACCGCATGAATACCGGATCAGCTGTTTGCCGCAGTACTGCATCCACGTTTTGGTGTCAACTGGCTGAATTTGCCCAGAGAATTTCAAAATTGATGTTGTAACTTACCATACTAACAGCCTAGGTCGGCAACCTATGGCTCGCGAGCCATCTATGGCTTTTTTGATGATTG